CGCCGCCACAGCCCGCAGTGCGTTGTCTTGCATGCTTTTGCACAAAACTTGAAAACCGATACTTTTTAAGCTGTTGAAAAAATAAATCCTATATTGTGCGTTAAAAAAAAACAGCTGTATTTGTTTTTGTCAAATGCTGGTCGGCTGGTGCATGTGTTTTTTTTTGTTTTTTTTTTGCAGAAAGGCACGCAATTGTGTGGTAAAAACTCAGGCTATAGTGGAGTACTACGTGTGTGTTTGTATGCTGCAGCCGACGGGCGCTGCTGAGTCCGCTGCCTGGGCTGGAATGAGGAATCCCGAGCTGGCTGTTGCAGCTCCGCCTGTCGTGGGCGATGGTTTATTTTGGAAGTCCCACCTTTTTGGGATTTGCAACGACGGTCGGATGCGATGATTGGCTGAAGCGTCCACAAAGAGGCGGGACACGAGTGCAAAAGCGGACTCCCTCCTACAAAGTCACGTGTTTCCAAACCCCAGGAAGTAGCTCGTTGTAGATAGATGTTGATATATCTGATGAACTCTAAATAGAGCCAATCACAGGGCCTGGTGATTTGATGTGGTCTACATGGTTAGTGTAAGTCAAGGAGGTACTGTATTATGTCGTATTGGTACAGCAATAGGTTTGGTTGACTAGATGAGTGTTGAAAGTAAGCATATAGTGAATCTATATATACAAACAGGTATGTAATACACACCGGGATGGATTATCAAGGGCCACAAGGTGATGATGTTGTGTCCTGAAATGAGCCGATGGGTCAAAATCTAGTTTCAAGACCTTTTATTAAAGGCCCTCCCAAATAAGTTTATCAGGTCAAGAAAATAATAACCATAATAGTACTTTAAAATACATATCTATCCATTAGTATGTTATTAAAACATGGAGGGTGTGAGTTTGTTTGTGTATACTGTGAGAGAAGGCACAAGATACTGCAGTTGCCCAGTATGGAAGTCAAAAAGTGCATTTTTCCCTTAAAGTTTGATGTGCATTTTAACTTTAACGTATAATCCAACTCTATTATTATTATTATTATTATTATCACTATAGAAATACAAAATATCCCTCAGGAATATGTTAGATGTGAAGCAGACTTGTGTAGGATAAAGAGGTATGTCACTCTTTCAATAGAAAAAAACCCCACAAAGTCAAATTTAAAGACGCATTAACATTGCACGGGGGCCTTACAGTTACCTTAAATGTTATACTCACCAAACATAATACAGGCGGGACTGTTCACACCGCTGGTATTGTCGCGCTTCAAATCAAAATGGGCGTGCATGGTGGCGGTGCGAGAAAAATTATTGATTGACAGTTCAAACTCACAACCCGGGTTCATTGCCCCGCCCTTCCGTGGCTGCGCTGATCGAACTGACCAATAGCGCCCGCCTGGGGGCGGGTCCATATTTATATGAAAACCCCGCCTCCCTCCCAGAGCTAACCGAACGGAGATTGTTTTCCTCTCTCGGGGAGAGATTTTCACTTTGCAGCCTCACAGCTTGAATTGTTTATTTTAAATCCACACGCCACTGATAAGTTGCTTTTCGCACATACGTCACTTTGGCATCTTCAGGTGCAGCGGTTAACCCACAAATAACGGATTATCAAAGCATCATTTGGGATCTTCAGCTTGCTATTTGGGAGAGGGGTGAGTTCAGCTGAATTCATTCAGCAAGCTAGCACAGCTATAGCTACAGACCAACCGTTAGCAGACGTTTTAAGTGCACCACACAGAGAATCGGCTTCTCTTTGCTTGTCACTCACTCGTAACTAGACCCGATAGGAGTTCTCTTATGAATCGATAGCTAACACTTGCTCCAGATTAGCCTGTTTCAGCAAACCATGTCGCGAACGGCTAGCTGCATGTGCTTAGCCCCTGTCGGCGCTACTCATGTTGTTTACATTAGCTAGCTAGCAGCTAACTGGCAGCTCACAGACCCTGTCGACAAAACGAGTTATCGGTGTGGATAATATAAAAGAAAATGCTTTCGTATACTTTTAAGCTGCATAGGCAGCCAGGCGGACAGTAAGTCGGCTACTTTTTCCTGCTTACCTGTCTAAAATGGGAGTTTAATTTTGCGGTAACCTCCTGCACCACGCTCTAAATGGCGGGCGTGGGGAAAGCGTCGCGCTGTAACTCGAGGTCGGTGCTTGTGTTGCCAGGCCATAAAGGGGATGGTGAATCGCCGCGGTCGACTAACTGTTATTAGCATGTAGCTAACGGACATAACTATATTTGTCTGTACGTGACTATAACGTCACTACACCATGTGGAGTTGAAGGTTTCTATAAATAATGCAGCCTCGCTTTCTTTCGGAGCGATACTTTTTGTTGGTGAACAGCTTCACTGTCGGAAGCGTCTCAAGTACACTTCAGTGAGACAGCCATTGTGTCACTTCTGCTCGATATTTTGGGTAATGCAACGTAATTAATTCTTCTCCCGTCGGTTTTTTTTTTTTAAAGCTTTGTCTTTCTTAACGCAATTCATTCAGATGCTTATGGAGTTGTTGCTGTCTCGAGGAAGTTGTGAATGGGAGACTGACTCCGACGCTCCTACAGCACCTGTTTGTTGCATCGGTGACGTAGGCGGTCTGTAAAACTCTGTCTCCGCAGCCAATGAAATGCTTTCAGTGCAAGTTCACAGTCAGATGCATTTAGTCATCGCTTTAGCACTGAATGAGCAAAGAGATAAAATAAAAGATTTTTACATTTAGGTTATGCAAGATAGTTATTCTTTATCATTTGTAAACCTAAAGCTGTTTGTGACATTTTCACAGTTTTGTTTTTGCAAGTTCTGTAGTTCTAAAGCCTTTAAATAATGAAACGATTATTTATAACAAGGAGGATAAAATGTATGAACGGTAATAATGCCATGATCTTTAAGTAGGCCTTTCTGAGATTGTCCCCTCTTTTATGAAATAAAAGTTAAAATGTCCAAATAAAGAGATTATATACACAAAAGCTGTATATTGTTGTTTCCCTAACTGCTTACTTTTTCCTAAATACCTCCCTCCAACCTGCTCATGCACACACAAAGTCTCCTTGTTTTGCATACTGTTGCTCCTCCATCTCTGCAGCCGTCCTTTGGTGACGTAGCTGCTCTGTTGTTACGTACATAGCAGGATGGAGCTATTCAGCACATCTCCTGTGTGTACTATTCTAGGATTGGTGTTACCAGAGAGTCTCAGGACTTCTGCAAAGAAAAGTGTAATCAGACACCCACACACACTTAATCTTAAATCAGCGAGACCTAGTTCCCCCAAAAAAGTTCCAAAAATATAACACAAACTGACAAGTCAATGAATCAATATGCGCCTTGTAGTTCACCTCTGTGAACCCTCAGGCGTCTTTGTGCCACTAACAGCATTGGGTGTTTCATTGGCTTTATTATTAGAGACCACGGACTCATTTTCTTCCCAAGCCAAACAACAGAAATGGCACAGTGTGTATCCATAAATTCACAGCTTAAAAAATGACTGCCACATCCCTTCAACAAAGTATTGAATGACATCTGATGATTTAATGGATTCTGATGACTGCCAGTGTGAAATACGGTCCATATGCTTGTTTATTCGCAGGTCTCTCAGCTCTTACGAGAATGAGTTCATAATGAAGCGGCGACTGGAGGATCAGGAAACGGTTTTTGCGTCCCAGCAGCGGCGCCTCGTTGGCAACCCGGAGGCATTCCAGCATCGCGTCCTGGCCCCCGCTCCAGCCCCGGCTGTGTATGAGGCCGTGTCTGACAACATGCAGCCCACAGCAGGCGTCCAGTACTCCGTCCCCCAGGGATACCAGGTATACTCTGACTTTTAGATTTAGAATTAGGTCAAATACAGCAGTTTTAAGTCACCCGTTGCTCAGAACTTAGGCTGTCCTTTTAAACGTTTGTGTTGCCTGTCAGAAACTGAAGCTCTGTTTTTTTTTTTTTCTATAAGCCATCAGAATGCCTCACTTTTTATGAAGATAAATAACTGTACATACATATTTTCTGTGGTGATTCTTACCAGATATACTAAAGTTAACTACTTGCCGTCATTGTCATAGGTGTCTCTGCTTTCCCAGGTTCCCACCGTGGCCCAAAACAGTGGCGGGCATGGGCACACCCCGAACCCAGCCGTCCACGGCGGGTCCCACCACCACAGCCCGGCAGTCCAGTCACATGGGCCCTCGGTGCTGTCAGGGCACAGCCACACAGCTGCTCCACAAGCCTCCGCACAGGGCCAGCAGTTCCAGAGGCTCAAGGTCAGTCAGCCCGTTTTATTTTGACAGATTCTTACAGTCCAACGGAAAACCTGCCGATGTCAAGGAATGTCCATGCCAGTGAAAATAAATATACAGACGGTTCATCTGTATCACAGATTTTCCCCCTTAACCCTAGTTGGTTTTGTGGTAAATTAAAAAAGTGATGGTTGGGTAAATGGTCACTGTTGATTTGTTAAATGAAGTTTTGGTTCTTTTACTGTATACATGTTTCATATCAGAATCAGGTCACTGCTGCCAAAGTAAACGTAGAAGTAAACGTCAGATTGGCAGGTTGATGAAATTGACTCTAAAATGGACTTCTCCTCTTCTCTGTCCCAAAGGTAGAAGACGCTCTGTCTTACTTGGATCAAGTGAAACTGCAGTTTGGCAACCAGCCTCAGGTCTACAATGACTTTCTGGACATAATGAAAGAGTTCAAGTCTCAAAGGTGAGGAAACATTTTCATTTTACAGAAAAATACTGTGTTACTACGAGGCACAGCCAAAGTCAGTCAACCCAGTGTTCAAAATCTACATTTCATGAGTAATAACTCGTTCAGTCCTACCTTGATCAACATTGTCATGGTAAGTAATTTCTACAATTCAGTACTAATAATAGTTGATAACAATAGTTTTACTTCAAACAAACTTCCCATTAAAGCACTAGGTACCCCTCCACTAACAGTTCCACAAGAACAGTGTTGTTGAGACTTTTGTTCTGCAGCAGCTAAAAGCATTGTTTTGTCATTTTGTGAATGCTCAGAGAGCACGATAACTAGAAGCTGTGCATGACTTTGTGTGAGTTTGAGGATTTAGTCCTAACTTTTAGTCATCTTTAAAGTCGTGTCATCGAACAGCTGAATCCATAATAGAGTAGAATAGAATCTAAAGGCAGGTTCATCCTTTTCCGAATAAGTGTACCAAAATGTACATGTAGAGGCTCCTCAGTCGGTCCTACCATCGCTGATACGCCCTTTCTGAAGAATTCAAGCTTTGTTGGACTGCAAGATTGGTTCTCTTTGATGGCTTGTGTTTTCTAATACCTGTACCAGGTGCTGATAAGGTTTGATAGAGTAAAAAGGAAACGACAGAATATAGATTCAACAATCGTTCACTGACTTATAAATGACTTATTCATTCCTACACTGTGGACATGATTAGACAGACGAGCCAACTTACATTTGTTGAGTCATTGAGTTATTGCTGTAGTCATTTGAAACAGCTGCACTCAAATTACAGAAGTGATTGGCAGGATGACAGTCAGGGTACATTTTAATTCATTCATTCATTCCCCCCCCCCAGTATTGACACCCCTGGGGTCATCAGCAGAGTGTCACAGCTCTTCAAAGCTCACCCCGACCTCATCGTGGGCTTCAATACCTTCCTGCCACCTGGATACAAGATCAAGGTCCAGAAACCTGTTGCTGGGTGAAAAAGAAAAAGTGTTCTTTGCTACAGAATTCATATTGAATTTGCTTGTGGTGAAGCATTTTTAAGGCTGCCATTATCATGCACTCTGATTTTAGAATTATTTTTCCTTTCAATTTATTTAATTTTTCTATTGTATTCGGTTACCCAGGATATACAGTTATCTACATTCATTCTATATTTGTTTTATTATAACCTATTACTTTATCATTCGTATGACTATTTCAATCAAGCTATACTGTATTAAATACAAACTATGTCAACGTATACTTTCATAAAGCTGTGTTTTTTTGGCTTACTAAGCTGATTTATCGGTAATTTAATGTTACTCGTTTTCCATTAAGCATTTGTTGAAATCACAGTTTGACTGTCTTGTATACTGTCAGGCATTTATTGAGAATAAAAGACGGGTATGAATAAAAAGAGTATCGTAAAGACAAAAAAAATAAAGAAAACGTACAGTATGGAGAGATAAGAAGTTAAAACAAAATCAATAGGTGAACTACAATAGGTGAAGTATGAATCAGGAATAAGATCAGTTGTTGTTTTATTTATATTTAATAATCCAGACAAACTCTGTGTTGTCTAGACAAAAATGTATTTCAAGCTACGACACATCCGACTCTCAATCTAACCTGAACCAAATTCACCTCATTTCAGGGCTAGATAATGAATACCAGTCATTTCGGCTGACAGCTGAAGGTCCAAAGCATCACTTTCCTCTTGAAATGCAGAGGTGGCGGCTCAGGGAACACTCCCACACTGCAGCGTACTTAACAAGTACTGTGAATTTGACTGTTGGGTTTCCCACCACACCAAAGTGAGCAGTGTAAGCAACGGTGTTAAAAAAGGAGTACCCACAAAACGATGTGTACTCCCAGTGCGTTGAAACACTGCAACCGTGAAGCATGCTGGGAGCTGAATTCAGCAGCATGTGGGCATTTCTCTCTCAACAATGCTTGTTCTTGGGTGTGGTACGATGTCCTCGGGGGAAACCATTGCTCTTTGTATGTTGCATTATCCCTGTATGGCACTGCGTCACAGGCCCTGAATCCTACACACAGAACAAGAGCGATTCATTCGAGATCCAAAACCTCTAATCTTCCTCCTAAAATTAAGATGTTGAAACCAGGGAAACAAACCTCGAATCAAGAATTCTGTTTATTGATGCTACTGCTGAGCCTTTGACTGCATAGATCTGGAAGCAAGTATAAGTTTGAAATTTTTGAAACTTTACATTTTAACCGCATGAGACTTAACTTAGTAGTTTTTGAACTGATGGGGACGTTCATGAATGCACAACCTAATATCAAGAACGCCTCAATTCTTCAAATTGAGAATTTGTAATTAGACAGAAATGTAAAATTGTGGACAGCTCTTTGACAAATCAACTGTGAATAAGTTTCTCTTCATAAAGTATTTTTTTTTTGCATCTGCAGGAAAGTGTTCAAGGATCACAAAGTCAGCCTCCCACCAGAATGGAGCTGCTCCATCGTGTATGAATGGATTTACTAACCTTCTAGAAGGAGCAGTCTCATTATGTGTGTGTTTTCATAACTGTAGTCTACAGAAGAGGGTTCATCAAAACTACAATCATAGAAACAAGCAACGTTCCCGATTTCACCATTGTGTTGCCTTCGGAATAGCAAAAGCAACGTTTTCAAAAGATTTTTACTGCTCATCTTAACGAATCTATTTAATTTCTCTTAACTTTTCTTTAAGTGCATTTAGTGTGATTGTTTGATAGCAAGTGATTAAAGCAGATGTTTACCGAACAACCCAACCTTAAGGTGAAGAGAAAAGGCATCTCTTCCATTACTTTCATTAATGGTTTAAGTAGAGCATTAGCCACTCTTAACAGTGATAATTGTTCCAGTCTATTTTCATTTAATTGTATTACAGTTGCATCTACGGAATACCACCCACCGCCGAAACTGCTTACAAAGGTCTCTCGAGCAAAGCTTCTTTTAAACCGCAGTAAGAGATGAAATTAATGTCAACAAATTAAAGAAAATCTTCTGAATAATGCGTGTTAAGATAAGTATTATCTTGTGGTGTGGTAACTTGAACTAAGTGGTTATGAAATTAAAACAGTATTTAAAAAAGGCTTTAGTTATTTTATAGATGCACAAATACACACCAAACAATTTGCATTTATTTTAACAATTTATATTTTATATTTATGATTCTATATTTAATATTTATTAAACATATCTGCTGCAATGTATGCACATATAAAATGCAAGGAAGGGCCAGCACAATGATATTTTATTATATTTTAATATATATTATAATTCATATAAATAAAAGGTTTATGTGGGGGAGAAGCTGACGAGCAAAATGAATTAGGGCAAAGACAAATACTGAGGCATTGTTGGAGTGAACGTTACCTTTATGATATTTGACAAGTGCAATTAATGTACAGACAGTGGTGGAAGAAGTACTCATATTTTACCTATAAATAAAAGCAGTCATAACATCTTGTTTATATGTTTACTTAGTAAGTAAATGTAACGAAGTAAAACCAAAATACTAAGTATCAAAATATCAAAGTAAAAGTTCTTATAATACAGAATGACCCGTTTCAATACATTTTCAAAATATATGTGTATACATATATTATATAGATCTCATTGTATTATTACATTATTATCATTGACATGTTAGCAGCATTGTAATGATGTAGCTGAGTCTAATTAAAATGAAGCCTGACTGACAGGTTAAAATTATAATGCATCATATTTTATTTAACTTGTTTTTGTATATTCAATCCTGATTATGCCAACTCACTACAGCTGTCCACAAAATGTAGAAGTGGAGTAGAAGAATAACACCTAAATAAAGAACAAGTACTGAAGCACGTCAGCTGAGTAAATGTACTTGATTACTTTCCGCCACTGTTCCCAGTCCTCTGCTCCCCCAGTACAGATGTTGAGTTTAGACGATAGTCATGGAGACTCTTCTGTTGTTTCTCTGGCGCTGCCTCGGTTTTAGCGGGTGATATTCAAAATAAAATGACGCGTGTACTAGTGTGCGCCAATGCCAACGGAGGGGGGCGTCTCCAACTATTTTGTTACAAACACGAATCCGGAGTAAGGAGTCTTTTTCCTGGGTATGTAACAGCTGGTTAAACTAAACAATATTAACAGTGTTGCCGATGTAACAAGTGAACGATGTTTGTGTCGAAGCGCTTTGTGGGGCAGTCGCGCCTCCGTATGCTTTTTGTGTCCTTAAATTAATTGAAGGGGGCTTTTTTTTTTTTT